CATCGTCCAGTCAGAAGAACAGTGGACAAGCAATGACAATTGCAGGGACGATACAAGCAGAGTTGGCTGCTACCACGCAGACGGGGGGAAAGGCAAGGTAATCAAGATTGACAACGTTGCGGACGCTGCTGACGGATACCTTGCCAGTCAGCGAATGTGGACATCGGCTATTTTCTTCGACGGGGTGAGGTTAGTGCAGGGGGTGCTGGACCAGAGCTTGACAAATACCTACTAGATAGCATTCGTCGGTTCGTTTGTTCGTCGGATACAAGTAGCTCCTCCCTTTCTCAATCAATCAATCAATCAATCAACTAATCCATTGACCACGCTTTCGCCTGCCGTGGTGTCTTGGGTAGAGCCCGACTGGGGAAAAGATGGGCGAGTGTATTTTCCCATGAGTAGGTTGTCAAGATCGGCCTCGCGAACATTTCCCCCAAGGACAGAATCCGACAGCATCCCAGCATCCCAGCATCCCTGTTCCAGCCTTCTGGAGTGTCGATGAATGGCATTGTCACCGCGTGATCGAATTTGAGCTCCAGTGACGACTATCGAGGACTCCTTGCACGTCCAACAGCATGGGTAACCTGTCCAGACCTACCGCTGAAAAGCCTCAAAAGCGTGGCTTGCACTACCTCAGCCCGTCGATGTGTGGAACCTCGCCGTGATCTTCGATGCGAAAAGGGTCAGCCACCGGCGCAAAACGGTGTTGCGAAGGGCCCAATTTTCGGTCCCTTCATGTTGAATGCCCGTCCGGCGGATGATGATCCCAGTCGTGTTTTGACCGCCTTCAGATTCCACGACGAGCTGGAGATGCAGGTTCGCTTGTTTGAGAGCGATGTTTATTTCGTGCACGATGGATTCCACGGGCGATGATTGCTTTCGTAACGACAGGACGGCGACGGAGTGAAGCGGAGTCGCCAGAGGGGGAGGCTGTCCCTGTGCGAAGCTCGGATTGGGTGATGGCAGTCATGTCGGAGAGCAGGCAGGCAGAGGTTCACCGACCGTTGGAGAAGCTGGCCGAACAATAGATGCAGGGACGTGGTTACGTCCCAGCGTGGACTGCCCATTAAGTTTGGATCTCGATTTCCCGCACGGTTGTGTCGAAAGAAAGTAGTAGAGATTGCTGCTTGGCTCTCCAAGCTTCTGCGCTCGAACTCGATCAAGTTTATTGTCTTCAAACGAGGGAGGACGGGCCATGGAGGAAGATGGAACAGCTCTCTCGCTCGGCATTGAAGAAATAAGAACATCTCAAACACGCGCGGGAAGAAGGCAGTCAAGGCCGGATGGTATGAGACCTGCTCGACGACGCGTGCGCAAGCTTTGACAGGGCTTCCAGGGGCCTGGACCCGAACTGGTTTCTGAGTCCCGAGGCTGTCTTGGATGGAGCTTGGGGTAATCTATTTTTCCGAGTCTGAGCGTCTTCTCCAGCCCAGCTTTGCTTTTGCTTTTTGTGGCTTCAAGTCTGCAATACCATGCAAGCTGGCGGAGGTGGACGCTTCCATCTAGCCCCCCATTGATCCCAGGACTAGAATCTTTGGCGGAGAGTCATCATTGGGAACAGGATATATACTAGTATTTGGACGTGGTGAGTTCTTTTCTTCTGGTTTGCTGCCTTGAGCGTTTGCTCTGAGCGTGAGAGTTTCAGTGCCTCAGCGCACCCCGGCATGGCATCCCGCGGGGCTGCGGCTTGGGCTTGCGAGATGGACAAAGCTTCATTGCTAGTCGATGATCGGTCGGGCGGGATATACCGGGTTTTTTTTGCTAGACATCTGAGAAATTTGCGGGGGAGGGGCCTGGGGCCGCTACCCATGAGCGGACGGAGAGTGCCGTTGAGTGGGATCCGCTGACTGGCATGTGGCGGCTCGGCTAAAGGGATTGTTCTTGCAGCGGGGGGTAATTTGCTGAGGCAACCATGGAGGGGCAAAGAAAGGAGGGGCAATCGCAGGCAAGGTCTCTGTGGCTGATGTACTCGATGCATGGACAAGGCAAAGACAATGATGCAGGGAAACACAGGCTCAACAGAGTGGCTCTAACGGCTGCGGCTCCTCTAATCGCTAAACCACGCGGGCTTTGATCAATTTAGGCAGGGTTCACCAGAGAAAGATCTGTATAGATCAATGTACGCCGTGGGGGGTTTAGCATGAAGACTGGAATGGCAGAAAGGCCAGATATGGTGTCAAAGTCGAGGACGCGACCAAAAAGGGGGACCATTCACATCACGTGATGAGCTATCCTGACCAAAGTATTGGAGATTTTGGGCTGTTCAGGGAGTATGGCCCGTCTTACCCCTTGCGTGTCGTCTGTCACAGCACGTCCTGACTCGACCACCGCGGCGAAAGCGTCTCTCCAGTCGAACGCAAGTATCCCGTAGCCAATGATGAGAGACAAGCTCTGCAACAAAGGACAGTCGGGTGACCGGCCACGAGCCAATCTGTGGTAGAGAAAGAAGAAGATGGACAATGGACAGAGCAAAGGCCACTCGGGGAGCAACCGACGGTTCGCGGTCACCTAGACTCTGGACTGCGTCGGTTACACTGGAGCACAAAGAAATGATCGGGGCAGCATCCAAAAGTAGGCCGGGGAGGGCAAGCGACGGACATGATTCTCACACGAAAAGCAACATATCTCAGCACAACAGACAGTAGCGGTTACACATAGAGTGCAAAGGACTGGCTGGGAAGCTCTCAACCCATCAATTGTGCAAGGAGAGTGAACATCGGACAGTTACACCAAGCAACAAAGAACAGCACAATGGACACTTGGATGACCTCGACCAGAGACTCGGTCTTGCACAAGCACTACAACGCACAGTCCAACAACAGTCTATACCATCCAATCGTCCCCCGGTCGAATGGCTTAGAGTGTCCCCCTACCCCTGTTAAGGACACTGTAACCAGCAGTGCGCATGCCCGTGGCCTTTCTCCTTCCTCAACGGTGTAAAAGCTGCTGCAATGGGCTGGTCATGCTTTGAACCCCGTACCCGAGCCCCTTGTGCCACCACGGTTAAAACTTTTCGCCAATGAAGAGTGGCACCCATGCTGACTTCGCTTCCCTTTGTCTGGGGAAATTTGAGGTCCAAATACATTGATTCTCTGGTGCCGATCGGCACGTCGAATCGATTCTCGCAGAGGAAGACCCTGCCATTGGTGCTCTTGCTTTTCACATCGGCAGCAAAATTTGGAATGCTCAGAGGAGCAGACCCTATTTGCTAGACCCAGCAATTATTCTGCTCTAAGCCGATGCGCCGAGAATGAGAGAGGCGTGGACGAGAATCCCTCGACTCCGCATTCTGCGTGCCAAGACACCCGTAACAGGCAAGTCCGTCCAAAAAGAGCATAGTACGCTTTTGTCACGATCTGCAGCAACCGTGTGTGCTGCAGGACCTTTTACCAGCAACCACGAAGCTCAAGGCACAAGGAGTCAATAAACGATACCACAGGAAGAACCTGATTCTGTACAGACAAAGTGCACTACCTTGGCATTGACGAAGCTTGGATCCGCATCAGCATCGCAACCCATCCGCGCTCATGGCCTTGTAGAAACGGTCATCGACAGCCTTGTGTTGTGGTGACCAAAGCACTGTCAATCCACCCTTCCTGCCCATCGTCTCTGTATACAATACGAGGCCAGTTTTACGAGGCCACCCGAAAGTACGCGGTTTTCCACCAGCGATCCACGGCGTGTTGAGCGCATTTCCGCCCCGTCACGCAGCAGCCAGGAAGTTTACACCCATAACTAAATCTTCGACGACCTCGCCCACATCTTCGACGGCGACAATGACCTCGTCACGTATCGAGCCGTGGAACATTGTGCCCACGACCTCTGAGTAGCCTGTGTCTGCCACCCCTGACCCCACGATGCTCGCAACAGCCTCGGAACCTACGTTCTCCTCTGAATCAGACGAACGACGTGGCCGTCGCCGAAGCGCTTTCCGACAGATCTGGGCTTTTCGCTTTGAGGAAAAAGTGGATAGAAAGAGATTGGGCGCACGCAAATGACACATGAAACGAGATGAGTATGATTCATGCATGGGGTGACAGACACAACGAAGCGAAGCGAGGCAGCTCAAGTCGACGTCCACCAACGGCCACGTTTGAATGTTTGACGCCCGATTTGTGGCTTAGGACTGGGGAATTGCATCGAATCCTTGCCTTTGGACGGATAAAGGGTCTTGGTCTTCAAGACGTGAGTCTCTCTCTCTCTCTGCCAGAAGCTGCCAAAATGGTCCAAGCACTAACAACGGTGGGCAGAGGACAAAAAGGGGCTTTGCCGGCACGACCAACACCAACACCAACATCAACACAGCCGCCGCTATCGCCGAGAGTGACAAGACGATCGTCGAATCTGTACTCTCCTCGGCCTCCCCAACGAGCTAGTCCTGGCAGTTGCGCTTTTTCCAGAACAGGAGTCTCGGCTGCTGCTGAGCCTCTCGTGTCGACAATCCACCCGGCCAGACGTCTTGGCCCACATCTGACCCTCCAGAAACCGGCTTGGAGGGCGGAGATCCGGCCATTCTCATGCCAGCAGCTTCTATAGCCACGACTAAGGAGCCCCGTGGCGGCAAACGAAGATATTTTGTGTGTGTGTGTGTGTGTGTGTGTCACTGAATGGATTTGGTAATACCCTGGGTATCCAATCTATCTAATCAATGCACCTAGTTAGTTACTCTCTCTGTTTTTGCCTTTTTCTTCTTTTTTTTGGTCCCCGTGGTGTGGAATGCAGTCCTTCCTCCTTCCTGACGGCCTTGTCCGCGTTGCCCGCTCGCCGTCATCCAGAACGGACTCGATTCTCCCTCAATTATTATGACCCATCCACGGCCCCTGGGGCGATGCAGTGCTGACTGGCCTGCCCAACTCAACTGGTAAATACTCGGTACACATGCAACCACCAACGTGGTGTATCCAGCTCGTGGTTTCCTGCTTGGTGTTTCCCGCGTGGTGGCGACCTCACAACCTTGATGCTTCATCTGTCTCACCTAACCCTTCCAGCAAACTCTGCATCTACTCCGCCGTTGCACCCATTTTCTTCTTCTCACGCAGGATTTGCCATACCCGGTATCGACGCTGTGCCAGATCAACAATTTGAAATCGCAAGCCCGTTCGGTAGAACTCCCAGTCTGGTGAAAGTTGTTCAGAAGCGTACGAGGGCGATAGAAAGTCGTGGAGTCGAAGCTGAGGGTTGCCCTCTGGGATGATGAACTCTCGTCCACTAACGAGCTCGGGCTCTCGTGTTTCGGGGTTCAGCTTCCAGATTTCCCAGAAGATTTCTTTGATTTCTCCTGTCCATCGATCACCCTGATAAGACACTGGCCCGTATTTGCCTTCCTTCACGAAGTCCTGTGCAAATATCGCGTCTGCGGTCTTGAGCCCTCGACGCTCGAATTCCTCGTCCGATATGTCACCTAGAGGACAGTGGTATTCTGGCTCTTCTGTGATTTTGACCAACATCACATAGACGACGGGCTTGGGCTGGAATCCTGTCAGCCAGGGTCGTACGTTTTCGAGAAGCTCGTCGTAAGTGTCGGAGCACCCAACGTGAATGGCCATTTTGATCTGTTTGTTGAGCTCATTCTGATAGAGGGGATAATTCTCTCGAATCAACAAGTCCGCGCCTATGAAGGAACCTGCAGCTTCGCCGTGGTAAACGTCACGGTGTTGGTACCTCCCAATTTTCATATATGGCCAACCGGTCGCCAGCATAAAGCGATTGTAAAGGAACTCAATCATTCCTTGGCGCAGGTCGGAATACTGAAATCGAATGGTGAGGATGGACGTTGAGGTCTGGTAAGAGAATCGAAGTTGTCTGTATGGGTCCGGTTCATCTATAGGGTAGAATACGCACACATGATAGTTTATCTTGCGCCAGTCGTCCTTTGAGAGTGATGGGAATCGGAAGATCTGGTCGCCGTCAATCCAGAAGCTTGAGGTTTTGAGCGTCCGTCTGAAGTTTCTCAGGAATGCTTTGACTCTGTCGTATGGCTGTTCTTCAGCCGAGCTTGGTGAGTTCTCCATCTCTGCCAGCTTTGGTCAAGCAGAAGACAAGAAAAGGACTTGGATTGTTCGGTTGGAGTGTTGGTAGAAATAAAGAAGGAATTTCATGGGGGAGAGATGATGTTTTATAGGAAGAAGAGTCACGTTCGCTGCCTAAAACATTGCTTTTCACTTCCGCTGCTCACACCGTCATCTGTCGCATCCACTGCCTGCCTGCCTTCACTCTCACTTTTCACGTGCCATATAGGATACTGCTTGCGACCAGTCCATTCAGCCAGGGATTGTATCACCAACCTCAATCGTTCCGAGGACCCAGACGGTAGCTCCGAAGGCCACGCAGCGATGTCGATGCTCCCTGCAACAGTCTTTCTCGATGCACTACAGTGGGAACCAGGAAGCATGAAAAGATATAGAGAAGACACGCACCAAATATATACATGTGCGGGAGTTACATGGTGGACCAGGTAAGCTTTACATTTTGTCGTCTAGGTCCCTGCCGAGAATCATACCATATGTGCTTTATGCTCTACACCTCGGAAGCCAACGAGTGCCCCGGCCTAACGGAGATGAGTAGCTGGAAGTCCAGCACCAGATGCAAAGAAATAAAAGGCTGGTCGCGCAGGTAGACCTCGGTTTCCCTCACAAGTCCTGTCAAGCGGTAGCCCTCGGGTACTCTCCACTGAACGACACGGGTACGCGGAGTTCAAAGATAAAGATGGATGGTTCGACTCGCAGTGGTCGAGTATTCGAGGAGGGAACCTTTGTGAATACATTGGCTGAATGGCTTGGGAATGCCGCTCTGGCTTCAAGCCGGTCAGATCGAAATGCAAGCAGTGGTGAAGGAAATATGCTGGCTTCATGCAGCGACGGTCGTCCGGGGAATACTTGGATATCGCCGCTCCTCTCGCTTCAGGCTTGGAACAACACACACCCCGTATGTCTACCTCGCAACAGACCTCGCCCTGCCTCGTTCTCAACCCTCAGTCTCATCGGCACAGTTGCCGTGGCAATGGCCTTCCACAGCCAATCATCTGATTGGCCTCTTTGAGATGTCTTGGTGGCCGAGAGGCTCCTCTCCGCCAGCATCCGTCGCCCGTTCGTAATAACAACGACTTTTCAATCATCAGCGCTATTTGACTAACCTACATGCGGCCCAACTCGCCTGCTCCAGGGGATGCCAATGGTGTTATTTTCATCAAATTACACACAATATTCGCGGTGATGCGGGCGGTTCAAGTTCTGGGATGGTAAGGGGGTCGCCCAATCACGGTAGGTCACGTGATGAGGAGGCCCTTGTATTTGCTTGGCTTCTGGTGCGCCACACTCACCCGCCACCAACTGCGGTCGTTTGCAGTACTGTGGCACTTCAAGCAACGATGGCAACTCGCTTCAGAATTGTCCGAATCGGCACACGCACTGGTGATGGATTCGTCTTCTGCTCTGGGTAGCATGCCTTACAAGCCCCGCAGAGTTCTTGCTAATGCGGTCGATGGTGCAAAGGAAACGAACAGGAGTGATCACGGCAAAATTCTTTGATCTAAGCAAAGTTGCGGCCCTCGAGGGCCTCAGAGTCCTATCCCAGCATTGAGAACCCCAAAACCTGCTACCAGCGCGTGGTGCTTTGGCCGAGAGCATCCAACGAGATCGTGGAGGCTGACGAAAAGCCGCATTCCCCCGGGCTGAAACAGTGCATCCTCTCAGTCACAGATCCAATCGACGTGATCAGCCTCAATAGGCCGTAAGCTGATGAATTGTAGAACGAAAGACTATCTGGAAAGACTATCTGGAAAAATTAAAGCGAGATTCCTTCTACCTGGGAAACCAAAACCAGCCATGCGGGGGCCAAGGGTATGAATCCTATCCGCTACCTCAGCCGTCTCTTCTTCTTGCCATGTTGTTGCACCTCCTCCTCCTCCTCACCCTCACCATCAGCCTCCTCTTCAGCCTTCTCTTGATCTTCATCTTCCTGGTCCTCATCATCATCTTCCACATCCTCGTTGTCCTCCTCTACATAGTTCTTGTCCTTTAGATCATCGCTCTTGTCACTCTTGTACCATTGCGTATATCGTTTCTTTGCCTGTCTGCCAACGGCGATCTGCAACATGTCTCGAAACAAATCCCAGTCCAACCGCAGCAGCCCGTCCTCTCGGGGTATGGAGTAGATCTCGTCAAGTCGAATAGTAACAGGCGTGGACGAAGATTTTGGATGGATAATCCGTCGCTTCCCAATCTTCCTGGCCTTTCCCGTGCAGGTGTCAAACTTCCACACCTCCCACCAGATCTTCGATATTTCTCCGACCCATTGGTGGCCTCGGTAGGAACGTGGGCCGTAAGCTTCACCACGAAATTCCGCTGCATCGACATTCTTAGGATCTTCCCAACCTTCCCTACCCTCCTCTTTGGACAAGGGGCACTTATACTTTGGATCCTCAGTAATCGCCACTAGGACACATTGAACTGTATCCGAGGCAGCTCCCTCGAGGATCAATCTCGCAGCCTCCTTCAAATCTTTATACGGTTGAGAAAAGCCAACCTCGAGAGCCCATTTTAGCGTCTCGTTCCCCGAGCGATCAAGTTCTAAGATCGACAAGTCTGGTGTTTTCATGGATCCGTCAGCCTTCTGTGTCTCATTGGCATGTTCGATCTGGACGGAAGCTGGCCGCTGGGCACGTGGAGGAATACTTTCATGGATAAAGTTGACCATGACCTCGTGTATTGCCGACGGGCCCCCCTGGAGGGTAAGAATGGACTTTGCTGCGTCGTATGTGTATCGCCAAACACCTTCATCCTTGTAAAGCGAGTATTCCCCGCGTATCTTGGACCAATCTTGAGGAGAGATCTTGAATTTCACATGTTCTTCGAGTCGAAGCACACGCGTACCGGCCTTGACACGATCAAGGAATGTCGTGAGTCGGTCGACTGGGACTGAAGTTGCTGCAGGAGACATTGTTGCTGGAGTAGGCGTCATCGGCAAGAGCAAATCCTTCTTCTGAAAGGTCTTGGACGGAGTTGGGAGAGAGCAGGACAGATATGTCGACTGCTTAACTTTCTAAGTTTGTACTACGTCCTCAGAGGCAAAGATATAGCTACGCGTGGCTGTCGCCGCCCCACCCCAACACTGCCTATCGCTAGACGTGTCAAGACTGTCACTGCCTCACACAGCACTACCTATCACTAGCGTCTTATTTAGATCATATGACCTGACATTTACGGAATCTGACGTCCAGAAGGACGAAGGAGGCGCCAGAGGAAGGCTCGGTATTTGTGGGACAGGGGAATGGAACACCGTCTGGTGCCGTACAATGAGGTACGTGATGCGGGAGCCGTAGCAGCTGTAAAATGAGATGCGGAGTAAGATGTCTTTTCAAAACTATGGGGGGACGCTGTCGAACGAATATATTACCCATTCGAAGCGAATAACCCGTCTTCAGATAGTCTGCCAAATATCCACCGAATGACACCCCAACTAGGGGTCGTTACAACGCTGTAAAGGCCAGATAGTCAAGGTCCATTGGAATGTGGATGGATAAAGAAAGAGAGAGGGAGGGAGAAAGAACGTGCGAACGCAGCAGACCAGGGCTTTATTGCAACGTCTGCACAATGCCTGTTGGCAATTGGCAAACAAAGAGATTGAAACCCCCCCCAGGGGCATCCTAAGGTAGGACAAGCCACGTGACTGCAACGGTTGACGGCAGTGACGTGTTCTGTTTGCAGTAGATTCTCCAGCGCTCTGTGCGTCCTTGTGGCTGCGGCCGGCTCTGCGCGAGACAGACCTTCTTGAGCCGGTATGTAAGCTTGGCATGAACGCCGCAACAACATCTCCCGAAGAACCCACAGCTGCGGTATTGCAGCCTGAGCTGAAGGTGGTGAGGCTGAATAGCGACCGCCGACGCCTGAATCACGCTCCGGCTTGCTCGGTTTCTCTTGGGTTTCTCGCCTCGTGGACCAGGACCGGGTCGGGGAAATCAGCCCGCAAACGGATTGCCATTCTCGACGACAGAGCGAAGTGAAGATGCCAGGCGCAGGTACCGCGTAATCGGAGAAGCATGTCATCCAAGGAGTCTCTGCAGAGTGAGGAGCACCTTCGCCCCGAAGCTAGGGTGCCAGTACGTTCTCCGCAGCTTCAAGGACTTGAGGAACCAGTCTCCATCCCTTTCCCTCCAGGTTTCGTGGTAGTATCCTCCGCCTCGGATGCTGAACGTGAGCCCCGCGATATCGACGACGATCTGGTCCTCCATGCCCCAGATCGCCTCCACCTCGTTGGGCGCAACCTGTTCCAAATCGCCCTCTCCCACCTGATGGAGCGTGTGCGCGTTGGCAAACGCCTGGCTCAGAAACCGGGTGAAGTCTCGAGGCGAGGCGAATGACAGCCTCGTCCGTCCGCTCGTGGAGACAGAGCCGCCGGGGTCGTAGAATGTGAGGTCGGCATCCGCGTACGCAAGCTGGACAAGTTGATCCCACTGCTTGGTATCGATGGCTCGGCAGTATCGCGATTTCTTTTGGCGAATGACTTCGGCAATTTCGTACTTGACAGGCATCTCGGCCAGGACCGTGTATAGTTTCGGCGTTGGTTGTCTCTGGGGCTCGCTCCAGTCTCTTGGAGACTTCTGAACGACAGTGGTTGTCGGGGCGTTATTAGGGAGGCACAGGCTTCTATCTATCAAGTCGACTGGCGCGTTCCAGTGGTGAATCCTGCCGAGGTTATACGGTCTATTGTTAGGCCGACCCTCGCCCAGTACGGAGTACCACTCGCCTTATTGTGCCATCGCCCGTCCTCGGAAGATTGTTGCTCCGCGGTGAAGAGTGAATCAATGCCTACACAAAGTTAGCGTTGTGTTGGTCATCGACTCCAGCCTCGCCAGACAGGCATGGATTCCGAGCTGCAGGGCGATGCACTGATGAATTGCAGTACGAAGGACCATCTGAAAAGGTTGGAGGTTTGCCCCCCCCTTCAGTGGACCGGAGTGAACAGCACCCCTCTAATTTAGGCCTCCGCCCCCTAAATCTCTAGACGGTCGGCCCCTGCCGTTAGGCGCTCCGGGCCTATAATAGGCCCGGCTCGGGCAAAGTGTTTGGCTGCTCAGAAGGTCTCCTCCACCACCCTCCCTCCCTTATCGGCAGGCCGTGCCGGCGGACTCGCATGTTTCGATTGCAACGTTGATTGGGAGACTTGGTCCTTGGACGGGGACGTGTGTGTGCATCAATGAGCGCAGGCTAAAGCCACCCGAAGGCGAGGAAGCAAAGAAATCCATTCATTCTGTTGATGCATAAAGCATTTCCATGCTCCGTTCCCAGATCCAGTGCTGACCCGCGTCCTCGATTCTCCTCAGCCCCATCTGACAATCACCCATAGCCCCAAGTCGCCTAGCCCTCTAGTTCGCCCACAAAAATCACCGGTTGCACAGACGCCACGCCCAACGAAAGTTCCCACCGCGAGTCCCGCGGGGTCTGTGTCCATCCGTCCCTTCGCCAATGCGCCGAAGCATACTCGCCATCTAGGGCAGGCGATTTAACTTTGACCATCGAGAGCAGAAGGTTTGTTCAACATGGCTTACTTACCAACGGGGGACCATCCAACCTAAGCGTGAGACATATCAGGCGTGGGCGGTTGCTCTGGTTGAATCTTGTATGGGCACATGTCCAGAGCGGGAAACATGACCAGCTCGCCCGAAACCCGGTCTCCCACCTGGAAGGTGGAGCTCCTCCCGGGATGCTCGTCGAGAGTGCATCGCCCAGTTGCATCCTCCTTGACGCACCAGACGCCCATCGTCCCCCTGACAATATCTCCGCTCCTAGTGATGCGGCCGTCTCGGACTAAGAGCGTGACCTCGCCGGCGAAGCAGGCTGGTATGGCTTCCCACATCAAACGCCTGTTGTGGTCGGCACTGTGGTTGACCATCAGATTCAGCCAGCAGTAGGTCAAGGTGCGCATCACATGGAAGGCAGGTTTCCCGTACTGGTTGAAGGCCGTGGGCTAGCGAAGAATGCCGATCATCCTGTCGACCCTCCCGCCATTCTTGACGATCCCTCGTTTGGCTGCATCCAGCCCGCGGATCTCTATCAAGATGTATCAGATCCAGCAGTTTTGCGTCAACCGGACAAACGGTGGCCTTTCGGCGGAGAGTTCGTACGCGATTTCAGGCGCGAGCAGTGGATTGCAAGACATGGTGGCCCGGGACCGTCGAACTTGTCGCTTGTGTGCTAAACAGCTGTTACCGGCGCGATTAGGCTTCGAAAAGGTTTGCTTTGTTCCATGTGAGACGCGCGCGAGGGCTTATATGAGGCAAGATAGACGGGTGTTGAATGGCCGAGCAAGGGATGGGTCTGAATTTGTTGAAATGCAGGGAGCTGGGTTGGCATTTGGGATGCAAACCCTGGGTCATCCAATATTCGCCCTGTCTGCCCCTGCTGGATGTTCGCTCGCACACCTGGTTGATACGAGGCAGATTACACTGTGTAATTGCTGCAATGTGTTTATCGCCCTGCCACCTGAACCCAGGCTCTCCGTATTCGCCCTACTGCCAGGTTGGAAAATCACTGGACCTCGACCAGCGGCCCACATCTAATGCAGCGGCAGAGGGGTTGGTACATGGCGGTGATGCTGTTGTATGCAAAAAAAAAAGCCCCCAGAGCTGATCAGACTAGAAGACAGCCATTGGTGAGGGTACGGAAACAGGCAGCTTGAATGGACCAGGCAGCAGTGGTAGGCCAAAGGTTATATGCTGCGACTGTGACGACCGATCCACATTCGTTGGATGTGGTTTTCTACACAGTTGGTGATCCCAACGGGTCCTCCACCGTTTCAACGCCATCCAAATCAACATACCTTGAAGCACATGGCTGCTCCGCCGCACCCCGTTGCGACCGGTGCTACTGGAAATCAACCCGGAAGCTCGTCGATGCAACTCATCAACCGAACGACCGCCGTATCACCCATAAACCTGTTCCTGTACCCCCCTCCCCGGGACGCTCTTTGTGCACTTCTCCCGTGGCATCCCACTTCCTCCTGCGCGACTCAATTCCCTCCCGATCAAACCACTGAATTCCTGACCTCCTAAGCGCTGAAGCTTAAATTCGCTGACAAGCATCAACCCAGCTGCTTCATCACTGCGCCCATCGCTACTGACTGGCAGCCACGAAGGGGACTCGAGCCACTCCCAGAAGGGGATTTTGTCCCATCTTCGAGGGCAAGTACAAATGACTGAACTGAACAGTACTTGGTCTTCCCCCAATATCCAAAGGCACTTCGGCCACGCATTATGCTTCTCGAAGGCGGTGGAGTTCGAAAAATAGGTGTCTGAAGGGGGTGACAGGTCATGCCTTCCTTGCTTGTTCTCCTTCTTGGACAAGTCTAGCGGTTGAACAAAATCCCAATCCTGGTTGGGAGCCTTGCCAACTCCATACTGAGCAGGAGGCTTCCCTGGCCTGTTGGCTACCTGCCGGCGAATGTGATTGTTGCCTAGGATGGGCTAGAAGTTTTCCTTGGAAGAGTTCGAGGCATTTTCAGCCATGGTAAGCGAAATCTCAGCGAAGAGGAGGAAGAAGATCAGCTCGAGGTACGACGGCCTGCTAAGTCGATGGCAACTAATAATGGCCCAGTATGGTGGCAACCATCCAGCAGTCTCCCAGTCCACAGTTCCAACAATAGTGTCCCCTCCCACTAGAATGTTCATACTACTAAGATCCCGTGCGTGAAAACTGGGTGACCTCCAATGTCGCTTCTGCCATGAAATCATCTCCTAAATCCCAAGATACTGCGATGGCGCGTCCTTCTCACAGAGTCCTGGGCAACAAAAATGATGAAAGGCGTGCATACCGTCAAAAGGACCACAACGACTAAGACCAGACGAGAGTCCGCAGTCCCACAGCGACCCCTCGTCCGCTTTCGATACCTTCGCGGAGGGTGCCTGCAATTTCCGCATCTCGTCGATTAGATGTCTCAGCTGGAGTAATATCCTTTCTCTTGACACCTGTGAGAGGGTCTGACAAACGGCGGCCAAGGTCTCGCCACGAATTCTTTCCATCACAGTATATGTGATGCCATTTCGACGAAAGGAGCAGTGAATTTTCGGGACTGGAATGGATGTTTAGGAGGCTAGGAACTGCATTGTGCTCGCTTCAGCCAGGTGGCGGAAACTGCGGCCGAGCTTGACGCACATCCAAGGACCCAGTCCCAACACCGAGGTGTCCTGAAAGTTGTCGGCACAGCCAAATGCTGGAAGGACCAAGGCCCGACGGAGGCGTGTGCTGTTGATAGGCTCGGATAAGGAACTCTCCACCGTTCGGTGCCCGAAGAACATCAAGATTCGGCGCAACCGGATCAGGAGGTGCATATCCATTTCATCAGCTTTGCTCTCTCTCTCGTTCAACATATCTGTCATGCTTAATGGGTTTGTTTCGAGTTGTCGCACTCTAAAACAGTGCTGTAGTGTAGGGTTAAACCTCCCTAAGGCAACCTGTTGAGTCAATACATTGAGCTGTCTCCTTATTGCCTCGCTTGGGCTTAAAGTCTTCCTTAGGCTTGAGTTGGCCACAGCCGGAGTAGGTTTTGTGTGGGTATTCGATTGAGGATCAGGTCGATCAGGAGGTAGAGGCGGTATTCCCGGAGGCTTGAACGGATCAGGTGGCGCGCCACTTGCGAGTATTCTGGCTAAGGAGATGTGAGCGAACCAACAAATGGGGCAACCAGCACTTGAACGAGAGCCATTTAAGGAGACAGAACAGGACGAGATCGGCGATTGCGAGTGTGGTGTTGTTATTGGGGTAGCGGTGGCGCGGTAAGTGCAATGTAGAAAGCGCGAAATTGAGTCTACTACGTGACTATAATAGAAATTGGCCAATCGGATGAGTATATTCTACCCCTTTTTGGAAATTTTTGCCCGTTATACCTGTTGAGAGAAGCTCAACAGGTATACGGGCTCTCTTCGCAACTCGAAACATTCAGAAGCCAGTCCTGCGGCAGCATTGCCGCCAACCTCTCCGGTCTCCCTCCCTTGCTATGCACCCACATTCACTTGCCTGCGCCATTACCCTCTACAGCTGAGATCGAAAAGTCAGACCAAATTCTGAAGGATGGAGTCGCGAAGGTCGTCGCCGTGGGCACCCATTTCGTCGTCAAGTACGGGAAGTGGCTCAACCCCGAAGAAGGGCAGATGATGGTGTTTTGTTCAACAAAGCACACGAGTTTCTGTTCCCCGGGTGTTTGCGCTCGATTCAGAAGATGGGAAGAACTTCATGGTGATGGAAAAATTCAACGGCCAAACCCTGCAGGCGAGGTGGCACACATGGAGCGATCGGGAGAAACAGGAGATCATTTCACAACTCAAAGGCTACGTGGAACAGATGCGCAAACTTCAATCCCCAGCGGGTTATCGCAGCCTTGGAAAGCGGCCTCTTCGTCACCCTGTGTTCGCGAGCTCCTCCGACGATTACAATGGCCCATTCGACTCCAATACAAAGCCCAACGACGCCTTGGTTCGAAAATGCCGCGCGTCCGAAGCGCTCAACAAAAAGGCGGAATACTACGAACAAGCTCTACCTCGGGTGTTGGTCGGCCATCCACCTGTTCTGACGCATGGCGATCTCCAAAAGAAGAACATCATGATTCGAACCGGGCCAAACGTCGACATCATCCTCTTGGATTGGGAGAGCGCGGGTTGGTATCCAAGCTACTACTGGGAATATGACAACATGGTTTTTGCATCATGGTTTGAAGACGACTGGTATCGGTGGGTCCGCCGCTTCTTGAAGCCGTTTCCAAACGAATACGCCTGGGATGCCATGCTAGCTCAAGAAATTGGGTGTTAACTAGAGGTTGAGCGAAGAAGACGTGGGCTCGCGGAGCCACGGTCTCGAAATGAGATGGGCATTTTTCGTCGGCTGCTGACTATTCGCCGGGTGTATATACACTTTGCTGTGGCATTTTCTCAAGTGCCTCGAGTACCCAATGCCGGCAATCCTTATTGCGCTGGACTCCTCCAATGACTTTCAGTCTCGGGCATTGGAAATGTGCGACAAATCAGATTTCACCGCCCTAATTGTTGGTGAGTTCCCACAAAGACTGGGTGACAATAGCTGGCTCGCTCGCAATGTACTCCAGTAATGCTTAGATCTTTTCGATGCCTTTTCTCCGCTGAGAAGTGTCTTGGGAGATAGGCGGCCCGTGCCTGCGCAACTCCAGCAGTCGTACAGAAACCATTGGACGCCACGTTTTGAAGTTTGAGCGTCATATCAAATGCGCCCGGCTTCAGCTGGCATGCTTTCAAGGCGAGAGAGAATCCGTGAAACCCATTTGCTGTCGACACAAGGGAGCCAACTTCTCTCGTTGGTGCCGTGTAGGGTAGTTTCAGCTTGAAGCCTCAGCTCAGCTGCTTGCCTATCCTGCCTCAACTGCCAACAAATGTCGCTCTTTGACAACCGAATAATGGCATGCGTAAAGCCAATTCCCCGACCGCATACCACTAAGGCTTGTTCTGCCCGGGCCCATTCGCACCAGGCACGATCCAATCTGCCTTGCGCATGGAACACCCTAGCCAGGCCGATGCGAGCAGGGAGTAGCCGAGTCCGATCAGGCTTTTTGGCCTCGCTCTTCTCATCGAGCAGGCGCAAAAGCTGCTCAGAAGTTCAGGAACATCGGCGCTATCCATGAAACACATGATTCTTGCCAGATTCATCGTCCGCAGATGCAATGAAAAAAAAAAAATCAGGGCGATGTCCTGAAACCGTTGCATTTCTTGTATTATCGAAGCGGTCACCGGCAATCGGTCCGATATAGGGCTTTCCGTGCCGGTTTGCTGAAGTCGATCACTGCCGAAAGTGGCCTTGACAGCTGGAGATACATGGAGAAACGAACGATACAGCAGAAATGTCTCGAAATATCGACAAAAAGACTCCCTGCATCGTTGGAGCAACGTGTCATCCTCTTCCCAGTAATCATTGAGTTTCAATTCGGTCATCCCCAGAGAGTTATTTCCACTTTTGTGTACCGAACGGTGACAGGAGAATGTAGATGCCAAATCGCTGGCTATTGGTGGGTTGAAGTAATTTCGAGCCAGTGCGTAGATGGTAACGAACAGTTATGACTTGTCCATCGAGTCGGAATACTGGCGTTGCGCGAAATCTTGGATGGTCTCTTTCTCTCGGGCGGTCTCTTTCTCTCGGGCGGTCTCTTTCTCTCGGGCGGTCTCTTTCTCTCGGGCGGTCTCTTTCTCTCGGGCGGTCTCTTTCTCTCGGGCATGGATTGAGTAATTGGCGAACAGTATGGGCAGCGTACAAAAGCCATCAAACGGTTGTTCCTAGCTTCTTTGCTCAAGTAATTGAAGTGTCGAAAGGATAGGATCGGTAGAGGTCAGGTATGTTGAAGGGTCCTCGTTGACGTGGTTAAGGATAGTGTTGGTAGTCGGTAGGGACGTTTGGATTGATTCAATCAGCCTATCCACCCCCGTTAACGGCTTCTCAACGGCGCGATTTGAGCCTATTGCCGCAGTTGCCGGGTTGAAAATCTGCCTGTGCTTTGTTGAGCCAACGGAGGTCAGACTCTGGGCCAGAGACATTCCCAGCTGAAGCCTGGCAGGTGGTTGCCGCCCCCAGATGACCAACCAGGTCCTGAATCAGTTCTTGGCCGTATTCTCCTCAGAGCCTGTCCGGAGGAACAGCTAGAATCAGCTGCACGGCGTGGCGAAGATCTTGTGCTACTAACATTGTCTCGCCATAGCGAATACCGTGATGGATCGTTGCGGCGTTGCGTACGTTATGCTGGGTGTAAGGAGAAAGAGAAGTGGAAGCTGCCGCAATATCACAGGAAAGGACGAAGACGGAGCCTGCGGGACGGCCTATACCTAAAAGTGTCGGAATCCACGGGATTCGAACTTCTTCTCCAGTATTACAGAGCGAGTTCGAAGGTTGTCGACGGACTTCTCGAGAAGATGGTTAAGAGCCTCGCTCAATTGTGCATACATGCCACTGCTGAAGCATCCGTGTTCCACACTCATTATCCACGATATCCCAATTCACCTGGAGTCTTTGGTGGCCAGCCTTTCTTCCGAGTCTCACCACACTGCTCGTCCTCATCGTCCGACACGACAATAATATCTTCTTTGGTGTCGCTATCCATCTCGTCCCCCGACTCTTGTTGATCATTATCCTTAAGATCCAGCAGCTTATTGTCTCCTCCTGAGTAGATTCTGTTTGCCATCTTTGCTCGGCTGTGTCTTCTCTTGTATAAGGTCTTGTCGTCGAAGGAGTTTTCGCAGGAGAATTTAAAGACATTCACGCCATTCCAGTTGTGGTTGCCCCTGCTTAACATTCGGCCGATGATTTGATGATCCATTTCCTGGGTCACCATGTTGTTCTATCAAGACAACGAATTGGGCCCTTGTCAACGTTAAGCTTGTACCCCATTCCATCTGCTATGCGACGAGGACGTTGACTTCATCCCGGTCCGATGTTGCTTTCTGACGTGCGGCTTTGGGTATTTGACCATATACTAGGGCTGGGAGAATCGGGAACGCTGTAGACTTCGCCAGGATGTCTTTCAGATACTACCCCTAGTTAGCCTCTGATTATTACTATTCGTTCAACATAAATATACCTTATATATAAGTAAGGCACTTTCGTGATGCATCGCAAAGATAATACCCTCAGACGGTCTGCCGAGATAGTCATTCTTCTAAAGCTGCTCGAAAAGAATGCTTTGGATTAGCGATAATTTCGCGTTCCCGGCACAAAGGAATTTTAGGTGTCGGTGGAACAGACTCTCGCTGCGGTTGTCAACGTTGGCGGTGACTTTGTGTTTCTTCATATACTCCACGCCGAAGTCGAAAGGTTCTGTGTCCTCTTCGTCTATTTCTTCATCATCCTTCCCTTGAATTTTAGAGGACTTGGGATCGACGTAAAGTTGTGCGAGTTTGGGGGAAAGTTGTACATTTCCGTAGTATTGAGGTCAGGGAATGGAATGTTCCTTTCTCCGACCCTTTGAAGGGCACCATGCCCTTGACCTTCTCTTTCAAGCGTTTAGGAAGGGTGTTTCTGCCACTCGCGACAGCCTGGTCGCATTACTGATGATTGTTGGATTCGGCGGTCAAAGCTTTGGATGCAAGGGAGATCGAAGTGTTAGCGCCGGGGGAGGGGGGACGTGTAGAGATGCTCCGGACGGCCAATCATGATTTTGATTGTCAGCACAGGGGGTTTTCGCAATCAAAGTCATGATTGACCGTCCGGATCGTCTCTATCCCTTGCGCGGCCAAGAAGGCTGCGGAAAGCCTTTGGCATGATACTCACGACCAATCAGGAGGAGAGGTTTATAGAGCCCACCAATCAGGGCTGTCGCAGAGACCTTCTACCTCGTCTCTGTTATCGCTGTTTTTCAGCACCATCTCTTCCTTGCGTATTCTATAATCTCGCTCTAGTGTAGCTGAGGCTCTAGATAATATATCCTTCGATTTGAATTGTCTTTGAGGGCTCAATTGCAGGCGCAAAAGATCGCCAGGACTTTTACTCCGCATCCCTTGCCGCGCAAGGGATGGACCGAGAGGCACTCGAGCCTACGAAGGGGGTATTTTCACCCTCGATCAGAAGAGATTAGCCCTGGTGATGAAGGAGGGAGAGAGACAGCTCATTCCGCTTCCCCGGAAAACTGGCAGTGCATTAATTGCCCTGGTTTACAGGATATAATGGTGGACGTCGCTCCTGACTTGACACTTCTTTGTCTTGACATTTTTGCTCACTCCCGCCCACCTCCAAAGGCTACCAACCTACATTCTGACTTGCAATTTCCACGCACCGGGCAAGAACGACACGGGCCTCCGACCTACGAGAGAAAAAAAAGTACTCGCTCGCCTCGAACAGCAGCAGCAGTCCAGCGCCCCCGATTCGTAGCCTCCGGTACGCTGCACAATCTCTACCCCAAAATGTCGACCATCCTCACCATCCAACCCGGCAACGAAGACGCCTACGCGTTCCACGACAACACCAAGAAAGTCTCCAAGGCGGAATCCATGGGATGGCTGAAAAAGTACAAGGCGGAACTCAAACTCACCGGGGTGAGGCTGAGTCGGGGCGCCCAACCGGTCTGCCGCGGCACGTCCTGCGTGCCGATCGAGTCGCTGGAAATTCTCGAAAACGACCTCGAATACGCGCAGGTCCAGGTCAAGTACTGGGCGCACCACGATGAACTGGTAGGGGTGGTCGAGATCAAGAGACAGGTGGACCTGGATATCTTCTTTACCAGATAATAGTGTCGTGTCAGATGAAGTGGTGCCGTGCCTCAGGTCATAGGGTTGCCATCAAGGTCCAATGGCTGTTCCGGTTTAGGGGGACGAATTGATCCAAGACTTGGCCTTAGATACATCATCAATACATGGACGGCTTTGCGCAAAGCGCCCCGAGGCGGCGGCGGTGAGATTCGTTGTCGCAGGGACCCCATTGAACCAAACTCAACAGCTCCTCGAATCCGTGTACTTCACTAAACTCTGCCTGTCTGAAGGATTCAATCAAAGAATTGGATCATTTGCTTGGGTGATGGAGTCAATTATGTCCGAGGTGATTTGAGCTGGATGAGTGGGTTCTCTTCTCTCGACAAGAAGTTCGGCGGTCAGCCAGGAAAGAGGCGAGCCCTTGTGCCTTCCCACTCAAAGGTCCCCAGCGGAGATGGTTTCCATAGCGTTCAAGTCATATCACACTGCTCAAACCGTGCGCAGTCCCGATGCAGCTCGCAGCGCAATCATCTTCTCCGAGAGAGTTCCACAAACCACCATTCCCAACGCTGCCAGGACCGCGTCGACCTCTTTCTCCCTCATTTCACCAATATCAGCCACAATGGTTGGAAAGCCAGGAATGGCATGAAAACGCCGGTCGTAGAGCGGGACGAGGGTGTCTGAGTATTTTCTTTTCGTCGAGTTTACCAGCCGCGCGACAGCGTTGTGGTCCCTGCAACAACAAATGATCAGCTGAGCCAGCAGGAAGTGGAAGGGAAGTAGGAAAATCATACAGAGAATTCATGTGTGCCTTCAGCTGGTTCATCTGACTTTCCATGGCGGCCATGCGTTGACGGAGACCTTCGATAAGTCAGCATGGGAAGTTCAATCTTGCCACAAAACAAATACTTGCCTGTAACAGTTTTCTCGAGCTTGTCAAAGCCGCGGCACACCGTTGAGCATTTCTGCAACTCCTCGCCCATCATGCGGAAGTTGGCGTCTAACTTCTCTCTCGTGATGCGCACGAGGTTGCGGATCTCGTCTTCGGTCATCGGGGAGCTGGGGATGGGGTCCTTTGGTGCTTCCATCATGGGCCAAGAGGTTGATGGAGAGGTTGATGGAGAACTTGATGAAGAACTTGATGGAGAACTTGATGGAGAACTTGATGAAGAACTTGATGGAGAACTTGATGAAGAACTTGATGAAGAACTTGATGGAGAACTTGATGGAGAACTTGATGGAGAACTTGATGGAGAACTTGATGAAGAACTTGATGAAGAGGTTGAAAGACGCGGAGGAGTTTGAAGTAGGAGTGAACGCGAAGGCTGTTACCAATGCTATTCCGAATGCGGAAAGCATCTCTTCAAGTTGAGTTGACCATAAGTTAAATGGCCTTCGATCGGGTGCTGACACGACTGGCTTGATCCAACTGCCTCGTCCCACTGCCTTCCACCTCCTATTGAATTCCTGCAGAAATGTACAAAGAACAGTGAAGACGCTCTCAGCGACCAGAATGTGCTAGACAGCCTCCAAATTCCTTCTCAATACCCTTGACCGCGTATCCTGGTGTGAATCCCCACGAACAGGCTGTCCGGCACCTTCAGGGCTTCAGCCAACACGATGTCGGTCAACCCGTCGTCGGAGCGCAGGCTCAGGCGCAGAGCAGTACATTGCAATGCACACATGGACCAGACGGAGAACTGGATGAAAGAGATGCGGATGATTAACACTTTGCTGCATGAATGCATGACACTGGCGGAGACCTGGATGGATGAAGGCATAGGGCCAAATGCGCACCCGGCCCAATCAAGAAGTAGACCAGGTGGACATCAAGTTGGATGAACGGGGTCTAGATTGAGGGCGTAGCATTGACTCAGACATGTAGTGGGGATTTCCAGGCGCCGCTGGGTGAGATGGTTGCTCATCCATTCTGTGCGTCGCCAGCCGATGCTCTCCTCGATCTCTGGACCAACGCAGAGAAACGGCAACACATTGTCCCAGAGTAGAGAGTGTGGAAGGCAAAACAAAGGGCACGCATTGGATTCGCGGGCATTCCTTGCGGCTGTCTAATACACTGAGCGGTCATTGACCACAGGTCATTTAGGAGCGAACGCTGGCAGGCGGGAGGCCTCGTCCATGTGATTCATGTTGCTGAGATAGCAGGCGGGCAAACTCGACGATTGAGCGTGGATATGATCGATCAAACCATGGCGATTTAATCTGTATGTATTCTCTTGCCCTAAACCTTCCCCAATCCACTCCAGCGGGCTTTTTTTTTGGCCAGGCCAGAAAAAACAAACTCGTCCCATCACCTGATGTGCCCAAGACGTGCGCAATCCTCATTCCCGCCTGGGTCGGCTGGCCCCCCCTCCCTTCCCTACCATGTGATATCCCTGACCCAGACAACGCCAGTGTCCGTTCCTGCAGCTCAGTTCTATTGTGTCGTTGCTCTCCCTGTGGCTAAGAATTCAATCGAAACACCGTTACCTATAATACCTCAGCACCCAGGAGTTGTCATCATTTTGCCGGAAATAACAACAATGAAATATCGAAAGATCATTGGGCGAACAACCCCAGGTGGGATTGAAGCCAGACCCCGAGGAGCAGGGAGGAGTTCTGCGAGTATCTTCCTGTACCTCGAACGGATTGCTGCCATCGATGCCCGGGTTGGCATTTGTCCTCGTAGCTTGTACCCGTCTTTCGGTATGATCATCTCTCTCGAGAATGGTGATTGTCTGGCAGGGCAGACGGGCCATTAACTTCTTAATATCAAATTGCTCCTGGGATCGTCTCCATTCCTCGGTTTCCTCCGCCTGATAGAGTCTATAATCCTGGTCAATGACAAGATGGGCCGGAGATGTGAAATATGGGACAGTGGTGAGCTTCTCAGTTAGTTCCGTTAGCGATACCGGACTATTGAGCCGAAGAGTTTCGAGACCTATAGGCAAGCTAACGAAGCAGTTGATCGGACACTTCTCGTGGTTGGAGAAGCTAAGCTCTTTGAGCTTGGTAAGTGGAGTGAAATCGAGTGTGCCAGCGTTTTCCGGCTTCCAAAAGCACCATTTCTTATTTGCGTACAACTTCAGAGTCTTGAGTTCGGGTTGATGGAGTGCCAGATATGGTATCAAATATTCTAGTATGCCGCGTCCACTCTTGCCGACAGTCCAGGTCCGACTATCGTCAAATGCCAGAGTCTCCAGCGCTTTTGGCATTCTGAGGATAGACAAGCTGATCTGCCAGTCCATGTAAGGATCGGTGAACAATGTGAGATGTTGCAATGGTGTAGATTTTGGCGGTGGGAGTGAATCGTCGAGATCGTCGAGAAGAGGGAAGGCCACTCTTAAGGTGGTGAGTTTCGGTGCCCTAAGTATAGGAGCAATCAATACTGTGTGGGGGATCCGACCGGACAATGTACATTCACGTAACTCGGCAAAGGAGCCGGATACGAGTGCACCGTTGAGTGCGGTGAAGAACGAGTCGTTGTGCACATGGTATTCCTCACCAAGGCAAGGTGTCTCACAAATGTGTAGGGCTCTGAGTCTCTGAAGTTTGGGGAGACACCAGACAATCCTTTCCGTGCGATTAACCGCCGCTGGCGCATAATCGAGGTTCACGGCGAACATCTTAACGAGGTCGTATCGTTCCCGACGTGACTTCAGCATGAGCTCTAGACGTTCAGATCGGTCTGGCGTTCCACTGTGGAAGTATTGCCAATACGCCGGCTCACATGCCTCGTAAATCTTCTTGCAAGTCTGGCGGAATATCTGGACGTATTCGGGACGGTCGTCATACAAAAGCTCGATGACTTTTGCCAGAATTTCGTTGGGAAGCTCGGGGAGGACTGCGGCTGCGACTGTTGGATGTGTTGGTACAGTTGCGGGACTTTCTCGTCGAGCCTTTGTAATGGCGAGGGCCTTGTTGATTTGATGCGGCGTCATGGTGATCGGATGTCAAGCGTGGTGGAAATATTTAGAGGATGAAGTTGCCCGGAGAATGAGAAGCTGGGAGGTTTTATCCCATAAACCGGAGGGTTAAGGCAGAAAAACTAGAGGCTAAAGTGTTAGAGCTGCCTCCAACTTCACCTCAACTAGTTAAGTATCTTGGTTATAGATCCTTTATTGCATAAGCTAGGCAGGAGGGTGTAAAGCATGAATATTTGAGTAACTAAGAATAGTTACAGGTTGACTTTGTAGGCAGATCTGCTCCTGATCATCCAGCCCTTGGCCCGCATGAAGGCCGTTCCTAACACTCGGGCAGACAGCAGAGGACCAAGGCAGAGGAACCACAAAGAGTTCGAGTAACAAAGCGACGAAGCATGTGCGTGGACGGGATCAAGCTTGTTGTTTTGTTCCCAGGATCTAGGCTGGGACAAAGCATTTCGAATTCCAGTTCCCGGCCCTTTCGGAGACGAAAAGTGGTGCTTGGATGCGAATTCATGGTGAAGCTGTCGTTTGGCGTCTCGCAGGAGCGCGGCCACGCTGCCAAGTATACAATGACCAATCATCTCTTGTTCAGACGTGGCAGAATTTCAGCATTCCTCGTCTACTCCCAGACGTCTTGAGTCCCTGTCTTGAGCTCCTTTCCATGTACCTTGGAAACCCGGCACAACATGTTCGGGCGCATCCTGCTGCGGTGCCAGGTGGGCTGAGGGACCAGCAGAGGCTTTCGGTGTTCTAGACACTGGCGCCAGATATTGCCCTAAGGCGGGCTTGGGGGTTGAACGATCGGCCACTCCTGCCTGCTGCGCTCGTGAGGGGCCGAATCGTGTTTTGTAGAATGTGTGCATTGTTTGCGTTGTCTGCGAGGATGAAGAGCGAATAGTGGCTACTATTATCGCCATGCGCATGACCGAGTCTCAGTCCACAGGCGAACAAACTTCCCTTTGGGCAGTCTACCTGGAGGCTCTGCACATGTCTCTGCTGGCCGGTCTTTCCTTGACTGCTTGCAAACATCCTGACGCCGGAAATTGTGTTATCTGGACGGCACAGCGACCTGATCATGACGGAACCCTTGCCAGCTTGTAAACTCCCTCTTCTTCC